TTTTTTTGTACTTCCAGATTTTATGAAGCCAAGACATGACCAGTACATTTATCGACACGCCGATGGTACAAACCCAACCCTTTTATTTCTGTTTCATATGTGTTTGTGAACTTTTCAACAGTGAAGTTAATTGTTTTTTGAATCGTAACTTTATATGCAAGATTGTGTGTGATTGGCTTGGCTCCAACACATGTGGCTCTTAAGGAAGAAGGGGGTATCATGGCCATTGATTTCAATGTTGGGAAATCTGATCGGAGTGGATTAAAGGTTACTGGAAAGCGCAAGAAGGTATCTCTCCTTCTAATCCCAAAGAGGGAAATTAAACTCTCACTCTCTCTCTCTCTCTCTCTCTCTCTCTCTCTCTCTCTCTCACACACACACACACACACACACGCACATATTTAATACGCCACACATACACATATTTAGTATGCCATAGTGTCACTTCTTATATTGTAGTTTCTAATGAAATTTGTTTTTATGCAGAATGCACAACACTCAGAATCCAACTCAGCCTTGTGTAAGGTTTGCACCAATGATGCTACATATATTGTGAGATAGGAACCTTTTTCGCCTATGTTTTCATTATTTTCCATTCAACTCCTTTTGATGTATGAGGTTTGAATTTTTAATTCTTTTGACAGGTGTTGCGTAAAAGGTTCACTATTGGAAGTGAATGATAGATTAATCAAGCAGCCAGATTTGCTTAATTTAGCAGTAAGAATTAGTTAATACCCTTTTATTAGCAGTTGTCAGATTTTTTACTGTGTAGATCCCTATCTCTGGAGTCAATATTGTTAAATGGAATCAACTTAGGTACGGGTTAAGCATATATCCTTTTTTTATTTGACGTCTTTAACCTTGACATGTATATTTCCATATGTTTGTATCCGAAAAAAAGTCGTTAGTGTCTAGAAACTAGCTAACGTGCTTGGTAAAGGATGAGAAATGCTGAGTCAAGAACAAAGATATGCATTTCAGGTAAATAGCGTTGAGAGGAGAGAGAGAGACAGTTAGCGTTGAGAGGAGAGAGAGAGACAGTTGGGGGATTAGGATCCCTTTGGTAGTGAAATACCATGAAGATATTTTGCGTTTGAACATACCTTGGGTTGCTTTTGTTTGATCTGGGTCAACGCATGCTACTTCTACTGGTAGAATGTGTAGAAATCTGACATCTTGCAGAAATCGAGAGAGAGAGAGAGAGAGAGAGAGAGAGAGAGAGAGAGAGAGAGAGAGAGAGAATTGGATCCTCTCCGAGGCAAACCCTCGAGATCCTCTTGATCCATTAACACGGGCCGTTGGATTTTGATCCAACGGCTACAAACAGATGGGTCCCACTAAAAGTTATAATAATTGTAGCTGTTGGATCAAAATCCAACGACCTGTGTTATTGGGTCAGGAGGATCCCGAGAGTTTGCCTTAGAGTGGATCCATTTCCTAGAGAGAGAATGGGTATGTGAAGAATGATTTCTCATTGTGAGTACTAATCCGGTGCCTTTAGTGCATTGTGATATGGTGATCCTCTATTATCCTTAACACACCCCCTCAAGCTAAAAGGAGAGGATCGAACTGAAAGCTTGGAAGTCAAGTAAGCAAATCTATCTGCAGGTAAAGACTTAGTGAAGATGTTTGCTGGTTGAAGCAAAGTGTTGACATGATGCACTGTGGTATGACCAAGAAGAACTTTTTCACGAATGTAATGGTAATCTAATTCTACATGTTTAGTTCTAGCATGAAAAATTGGATTGAAAGCCAAAACAATGGCACTCTTGTTATCACAAAATATACTTGGAGTCTTGAGCAGAGGAAATGAGATATCCTACAAAACTTGCAAACCCAAGTCAATTCAACTGCAGTGTTAGCTAGTGATCTGTATCTAGCTTCTGTTGAGGACCTAGCAACTGTACATTGTTTCTTTACACTCCAAGAAATGAGATTAGATCCTAAAAACACACAATAGCCACTAGTAGACCTTCTATCCACTGGACAACCTGCCCAATCATCATCAAACCAAGCTGTTAGAACCTCTGACCCTTTGGTAAACCAGAGACCTGAATCAACTGGGCTTTTAATAGCTTGTAGCTGTATAGTACGAGGAGTATGCATATGTTGACAAACTTGATTAACTGCAAAGGCTAAATCAGGTCTTGTCCATGTTAAATACTGAAGTGTACCAACAATTGATCTATATGCTATGGGGTCAGAAAGTATAGTGCCTAAATGATCCAATTTGGTTGATCAAACTAGAGCATTACACAGGTAGACTTGAAGCATATCATTCTGTTTCAACAGATCCAAAGCATATTTGGTTTGATGTAGAAATAAACCCTTGTCATTTCTCTGGACTTCAATGCTAAAAAAATAATGGATGTCTCCCAAATCTTTGACTAGAAACAATGCTTACATTTTAGAAATAATAGATTGGCAAACTTGAGAAGAACCACCTGTGATGATGATATCATCCATATACTCTAGGATAAAAGTGATAGTGATGTCCCTTTTGATGAATAAGCTGGTGTTAGAATATGAGAAAGTAAAACCCAGAGAGAGAATAACACTGTAAAAAGCTTCATATCAGGCTCCGGGAGTCTGTTTTAAACCATAGAGTGACCTTTTAAGCTTACAAACATGTGTAGGTTTAGTTGAATCAATGAAATCAGGAGGCTGCACCATGTAAACATCTTCTTTGAGAGAACTAAAAGTCTTTGAAAAAATCAAAAGCTTCATGTTGATGAAATCCCTTAGCCACAAGCCTAGCCTTGTACCTTTCTATAGTGCCATCAGCCCTATGTTTTATTTTGAAAACCCACTTACATCCAACTAAGTTGTATTGAGGATTAAAAGGAACCAAATCCCAAGTTCAAGTAGTTTGAAGAGCTTGGAACTCATATTTCATTACTGCCATCCAATAAGGATTCTTATAAGCCTGTAAGTAAGTGGTAGGGTAGGTGGAAGTGTAGTGAAAGGCTTCACTGTGAAGGGATGGTGATGCTTTGTTTGGTTTGAAAATACCTGACTTTGCTCTTGTAGTCATATGATGTTGATTAACTAGAATCTGAGATAACTGTGGCACTGTAATTTACTGGTTCTTGAAAGACAGATGGTTGTGATAATGCCTGTGAACCTTGAGAGTCTTGAGAATTACCATGAGGAGAACACTGAGAATTGTAGTGTGATTGCTGAGAAGATGATGTGGTAGTGGACAATGTAGAAGTTGGAGCCAATGGTTGAATAGGTATTGTAAATGGCAGGCAAGTTGTAGAAGTTTGGGATGAAGATTATGAAGGTGAAAAATGCTGAAAAGATGACCACTGCTTGAATAGAAATACAGATTCATAAAAAACCACATGCCTGGAAACATACAATATGTTTGTAGTTGGATCAATACACTTATATCCACTGTGATTGAGACTATACCCCAGAAACACACAAAGTTTGCTCTTTGTATCTAGCTTATGTTGTGCATAAGGCTACAACCAAGGATAACATGCACAACCAAAAGTTTTCAAAGTATGATACTTAGGAAAGGCTTTGAACAATAATTCCTAAGGACTGATATAAGAGGACTGAGAAGGTAATCTGTTGATGATATACACAGCTGTTTGAAAAGCATCCACCCAATACTTAGATGGCAATGCACTTTAAAACAATAATGTTCTACCCATATCAACTACATGTCTGTGTTTTCTCTTTGCACACCCATTCTGTTCAGGGTGTAAGGGCATCTGAGTTGATGTGTGATGCCTTGAGTATTAAGAAAAGTTTGTAACTCATTGTTAAGGAACTCACCCCTTGAATCAGACCTTAAACATTGAAGTTTGCTTGTAAACATATTTTGAACTTTAAGAACAAAGGTCTTAAGTGTAGAGCATACATCAGATTTGTAGTGAAGTGGATAAAATTTCAACTATACTTGGTGAAATAATCAACCAAAATGAGATAGTATTTATAACCAGTACATGAGGGAGTGGGAGAAGGACCACATACATCGGCATGAACAAGATTAAATGGCCTATTGGTAGTACAAGGCAAAACAAAAAATGGTAATCTAGAGGCCTTCCCCAATTGACATTCAGAACATACAGACTGTTTATGCAAAGTACCAACTACTAGTAATTGACCTTTATTTAAAACCTTAGAAAAGGTTGCACTAGAAGGATGTCAAAGCCTTCTGTGCCAGACATGAATATTACATTTGGCAATCATCAAAGCTTGTGAAGATATGGCAATACTAGAAACAACATTAGATGGATTCCAGTAAAATGGATAGTATTCCTTCACTGGGGCCCTAGAAGAGCATCTTCCTAGTGCTTAGATCCTTTATGTAAAACCCAAATGGATCAAAAGTCAGAGAGCACCAATTATCATACACAAATTTATAAACTAAGAGCAAATTATGTGATGCTTGAGGCACAAGTAACACATTATGCAGTTTAAAAACAGCATTAGAAGTTCGAATTAAGGCAGATCCAGTATGAGAGATACACAAACGTTTACCATCTCCTACAAACAACTACTCAGTGCTTGTGTATGGAATTGCAGAATTGAGAGCTGCATGATCTGGTGTAAAATGATGTGTAGCACCGCTGTCAGTAAGCTAATAACTAGGAGAAGACATTTGAGAACCAGTCATGGCATTCATCCCCATGGGAGAATTGTGAGGAAGTTGAGCAGCAAATTGTGCAAGACGCCCATAAGAAAGAGCAGAGTGACGATGTTGATTGCAGAGCTGACATGGAATGGATTTTCCAGAGTAGTAACTGCCTTGAGAGTTACCAGAAAAAATAGAGCATGAAGAAGCAGCACCAAGGACTCCTCTAGAATTGTTGTTGTTATTTGTGCAATTAGCTCCAAAATTCCGATTATGATTGTATCGATTTCGATTTTGATAACGGCCACAAAAATTATCTCTGTTTGATGAGCCTTGCTAAGCATTGTAAGCATGAAATGGTGTTGAGGAGGAAGAAGATGAGAATCTTGATTTGCGCTTTGCAGAGAAATTTCTTTGCTCAGAAGAAGGCCATAAAGTTCATCAATATTAATAGATTCAATTCTTGTCATAATTGAATCAACAAAAGATTCATAATTATCAAGCAAACCAGCAAGTGTATAAGCAACAAGATCGAAATCAGAAATCGGTTCACTAGCAGCAGCTAGTTTGTCAGAAATGTCCTTGATTGAATTTAGAAAATCAGTCATTGTTGAATCGCCTTTTTGGATTGTCTGGATCTTAGCATAAAGGCTATGAACATAAGTGTGAGAAGCACCAGCGAATCGACACTCAAGAGATTGCCATAAAGATCGAGAATCAACCATTCCAATTGTTAGAGGAAGAAGATCTTCAGCAAGAGTTGAATTGATCCAAATCATTAGAATTTGATCACGTTCGCACCATACCTCATAAGCAGGGTTACGAATGCGAGATCCAGAAGAATCAAAGATACACTTAGGAGGACAAATATCATCTCCGTTAACAAGACCAAAATGCTTGTAGCGTTTAACATAGGCGTGAAAAGACTACACCAAGTAATGTAGTTCTGCTCATTCAGCTTAGTTGCTCATTCAGCTTAGTCGGAAGTGAAGGATCGATTCGTCGTGAGACTATGGTGGCGATGTAGAAATTTGACATCTTGCAGAAATCAAGAACTAGAGAGAGAGAGAGAGAGAGAGAGAGAGAGAGAGAGAGAGAGAGTGGATATTGGAAGATTTTTTTTTATTTTTTTTATTTTTTATTTTTTATTTTTTTTGAATTTTTTTGTAGAGACAGATTAGGCGAGATTAGCTCTTCGTCAACAGTCGCGTGCGAGGCACCAACCCTCTCCCAAAGGAGAAAGGACCGTTGCACCCATAAACCCCCCGCCCATCCCCCCTCTACAAGAATTTATTAATAATAAGAAGAAAAAAGGAAAAGTAGAACAAACGGGGGGACTAGGCCAAAACCCGCTAAAAACAATTATTGAAAATGATATGGACTAGTTTAAGGGTGCTTAGCTTCAGTCACCTAAAATTGAATTCCCATAATTCAGATGATTATATTTCTTTCCCGAAATCCTCTTCCATAGCAACATTTTGCTCCTCATGAGCTCGAACGGAAGAATGGAAGCCCGACACAATCTCTTCTATAAGACGCATCAGCAAAATCAGGAACCGAGTCCCACCACGTAAAGCTACTATTCATTGCACCAAAATTAGCAAAAGCATCCGCCAAACAATTCCCTTCCCTGAAAATATGCGAAAAACGCAAATTCAAGCGAGCAATATGCCATAAACAATTTGCCCAAGAAACTTTAAGAAACCATGGAACATCCATGGAGTGAGCTGATAGTAGACTGATGACATGCATAGAATCTGTCTTTAACCAAATGTTATGCCATTTTTTATCCCATGCAATCTGAATTGCCTCGATGACAGCCACAATCTCCGCAACAACTGCACTTGGATAAGAAGACGAGGAGGCAAACGCTCCTAAAAAAAGACCACTGGAGTCACGAAAAACACCACCACTACCCACATGACCATTCCCTTTACAAGACCCGTCTGTGTTAATCTTAATCCACCCAACAGGAGGCGGACGCCAAAACACAGGCACGAAATTAAGAGCATCCAAAGAAAGGGATGAAATTCTTAACATGGAGAATATAGGAATCGATACACAACCAGTGAAAGAAGAAAAACAAGTAGAAGCTGATTCCCTCCAATGCCGTAAAAGACAACGTTGAGACTCGACAATACTGAAACTTTTGTTCTCAAACCTGATCTTGTTCCTTTTGTGCCAAAGCCACCAAAAGAAATTGCAAATAACCAATAACCAAAGTTTCCGAACAGATGTGGGGAAAGATGAGACCAAAGAACCATAAAAAATATCTTCAATGCATTGCCAAGGATCATAAGGCTTGCCAAAAAGAATGAAAATCCATTTCCATAAAGCAACTGTTTGAGGACAATGCAGAAGAAGATGGTCACAAGATTCCCTAGCATTATGACAAAAAGCGCAACAAGAAGCTAAAGCCACACCTCGGCGTTGCAATAAATCATCAGTCAATAATCTTCCATGACAAGCTTTCCAAACTACTAAGCTTTTGCGTGGCTGAATAGATTGATGCCAAACCATTTTAGCCCATTTTTTATGTGGAGCATGAGATGAGAAAAAAAGAAAAGCCTCCTTAGCTGAAACAGTGCCCGAAGATGAACCTGTCCAAAATAACGCATCATCCATGTGTGCAATTGGCAATGGAGTCTTCATAATCTTCTCCGAAAGATGAGGAAAAGAAGAAGTAAAGACAATGGGAAGAGACCATTTTGCATCCTGAATAAAATCTTTTACCTTCGAATTCAAGGGAATTATGTCAACCTCACCAATATTAGAGAGCAAAGTGGTTCCAAGCCAGTTATCATACAAAAAAGAAATCTTACGGCCATCACCAACACTCCATTGAAGGGAACTATAAAAGGAGGGCCATAATTGTTTAAGCCCCAACCAAATGGAAGACTTTTTATAAGACTTTAGCAAATGAAAGTTGTCTTTAAGAAATCTGTTACGTAACCAATCCGAAGCCGGTGAGGAAGAAGAAATTACATCCCAACATCTTTTAAGAAGGAGAGAACGGTTGGATTCAAAAAGATCTCGGATACCCAAACCACCCTCATCTTTCAACTTACAACAAGAACTCCAAGCTATTAGAGGCATACCTCGTTTTAACGGATCACCAGACCAAAAGAAATTTCTAATCCACCCTTGAACTTCACGTAGCAAATTAGTAGGCCAAGCATAAATTTGAAAACTATAAACCAAGATTCCCTGAATTACTGAATTAATAAGTTGGAGTCTTCCTGCTTGCGAAAGCAAAGAACCCTTCCAAGCCGTCAACTTGCAACGAATCTTGTCAGCAATGGCTTGAAAATAGATCCTTTTGGGACGACCCTGAAAGATAGGGACACCTAGATAAGTAAAAGGCAGATTTCCCCGACTTACACCAAGAACCTTCTGAATAATAGCATGTCGACTGCTTGCATATTTCCCAAGAAAAACTAAAGATTTTAATTTATTTATGCATTGCCCCGAATTTAAGCTGTACTCCTCTACAAAACGCATTAGGTTACGCATAGATCGCTTAGTTCCACGCATGAAAACCATAATATCATCTGCAAAAAGAACATGAGATGGTGGAGCAATACCCATGGGAACTGAAAAAGTGTCAATTAGATCAGCTTCCACCATCCTTGTTAAACCCCTGCTGAAAACCTCCTCAGCTAGACAAAAGAGAATAGGAGACAAAGGATCCCCTTGACGAACACCACGAGAACAAGGGAAAAAACCTTCAACTGAACCATTAATAAAGACAGAAAGATGAGCTGAAGTTAGAATAGAACAAATCCAATCCACAAAACCTGCTGAAAAACCAAAAGCATCCAAAACCCGGAGAAGAAAACCCCAATCCAAAGTGTCAAACGCCTTTCGAATATCAAACTTGATTGCAATATTCCCACCCATACAACGTCTATCAAGGAGGTTCATGCATTCAGAAGTGAGAATGATGGGATCCACAATAGATCGTCCTTTCGTAAAAGCATTCTGCTGGGGAGAGACAATGTGAGCAGCAATAGGGCTTAAACGATCTGCTAAAATCTTAGTGATAATTTTAAATGAAAAATTAGCCAAAGCAATAGGACGAAGATGGTTCACCGAATTCGCTCCATCCACCTTTGGAATTAAAATCATTAAGTTAGAATTGAAGTGAGGCAGAATATTCCCTTGGGAGAAAAAACTTTGCACTGCTTGAACCACGTCATTACCCACAATGGGCCAACACCTAAAATAGAAAGACCCGCCAAAACCATCTGGACCCGGGGAACTAGAGCGGTCCATGGACTTTAAAGTTTCAAAAATTTCATCAGGAGTTGGAATTGCTAACAAATACTCATTTTCGGTGGCAGTGACTACCTTGGGAATAATGCGAGCAACCAAACCAGTGTCTGTCACAGAACTATCTGCAGAAAAAAGATCTTGAAAATAGGTAACAACATGCTGACTAATATCCATCTGATTATCAAGTACCCTATTACCATCTCTCATAACTGCCAGTGACCGGTGAAGTTTCCTGATTTTAACCATGGAATGGAAAAAAGAGGTATTATTATCCCCTTCAGAAAGCCATTTAATGCGAGACTTGTCACGGTAAAATTTTTCCTGTGCAATAAGAGCATTTTGCACGCACAAAGAAGCATTATCCTCCTTTGTAAACCTTTCTTCTGAAGGACCCAAGCTGGAAATTTCCTTTTGAATTTCATCCAAAGCATCGAAAGCTTTATCAACATTCATATTAACATCCCCGAAAACCGACTTGTTCCAAACTTTTATGCGAGACTTAAGCACACGAAGCTTAGCACCAAGCACATACATTGGACAACCATAAAAATTAGAAGACTTCCAAACATCCTCAACTAGGGGAAAAAAATCCTGATGATCCAACCACATACTATGAAACCGAAACGGAGCCTTCGGAGTGATTGTTAACTTTGAGAAAGAAACAAGAAGAGGACAGTGATCAGAAGATATCGAGGTAAAGTGGAACATTCCAACAAAGACCATGCATCAATCCACTGAAAGTTACCAAGGCAACGGTCCAATCTCATTTCCACTTGATTTTTTATTCCTCTTCTATTCGTCCAAGTGTATGGCAATCCTTTTGTAGGTAAATGAAGCAAATCACAAGCTGAAGACATCTCTTGAAAATCAGAACAAGAAGTAGTCTTGGGAAGAACCCCACCCCTTTTTTCATGAGCGCCTAAAACACAATTAAAATCCCCTAGAACAAGCCATGAACCATTAACAAAAGAGGATTTGATAGATCGCAAGTCTTGCCACAACTGACGCCTTTCAACAATTGTCGTTTTTGCATAAACCCAAGTGATAACACAACTGATAGAATCCAAGGTACAAGAAATAGTGATTTGTTGAGCGGTTGCCAATAAAATAGAAGGTTGGATGGCTTGATCACAAAGCAACCAAATATTTGGCTGTAGGTCACCCCTGTCATTAACCGCAACTGGAAACAAGCGTAAAGATCGCCAAAAAGACAATTTAATAGAATTTAATTGAATAAAAGGTTCAGAAATACCGATTAAATATGGACGATGAC